AAGGTATGAATTTAGTGCCATTGTATTACCTGTAAGGTGACTGTTAAAGGCTAAGCTTCTTAAAATAGCTTACAAATCCCTCAATAATCTGAGTCCAACCTGCCTCTCTTATATGAACTTTCCTCTTCCAAATCCGTACTTCATTCTTCATGCTGAACTGACTATGGTTCTCCATACGTTGCTTATCTATACATTGTATATATTGTGCCTAGGTTTTTGGTGTTTTGTTTTGTTTTGTTTACATTTCTCAGACTCTCTTCCATGTAGAAGGCTCTTTCTATGCATTCCCCTTTCCTTTAAGTTAAAGTCTGATGTTTTAACTTGCTCATGCACTACACACTCCAGGATGCAATCATTTAACACCCTAGTTTGCATTAGTGGTTCCTATATGAGCTGTGGCACTCATGGCTCATGGCAACACCTGAAGGATTACCAGATAGCTAACCAATACCAATGATCCTTTGGTATTGTACCTTTTTCTTTGTGCAAACTCCGATATCCAAGACATCTTTTTGCAAATATGTAGATCAGCTTAAATCCCTGTACATGAGCTTAAATCCCTGAAATTCAGGGACTTAATGAAAGTTTGGGTAAAATTATGATATTAATGAAACTTATCTGGAATTTTCCATCAACATAAGTCCTTTATATATGTTTTTGGAGCTCATTACATTGATTACATGTCTCAATTATCCCTTTTCATAGCTAGTGGAAAAGTTGATCTGAGTAAAGTGATGGATGGAGTGAAAGCTGTTACAGGTGAGTGAAAAGTTAAAGTAAACGTAGGATCCTAATTTTTATAGTAACTATTTTTCTTCATGCCTTAATTGCTATGCTAATTCTATCATTTTTACCTCCTATTTGTTTAATGTTTTCATACCCAGTAGCCCAGAATATTTTCTGATGTGTTTTCCACTAATACACTTCATTTTCCTTATTTTAAGACAGCCAAAATCTATAATAAAAGGTGAAATGATCTTTGGAAAAGACCCTGGTAATCACTTAAAGAAGAGATGATATGTTCTTCATGTCAGTAGAATTATCAGGATACACTGTTTGCAGTTTACTAATTAACAAAAAAGATATATAATACCCATTTCTTGTCATTGTCATTTTGAGTATGTTAGTCCAAGCCTTCCAAGAAGGAGGATTAAATGTGAAGGACATTATTACAGGAAATGCCTGCCCAGTAGAAAATAAGGAGGGAAAGTGAAAACACTGGGAGGCTGTCAGACTGCAATGCAAATATGACACCAAGTGAAGGAAAGAGGAAGAAAAGTTTGGGTGGAAGCATCCTAGATTGCCATGTAGTCTGAGGAAGGTCTGGCAATACTGCTTTCAAGAATCCTCTGGTCAGGGGCACCTGGGTGGCTCAGTCAGTTAAGTATCTGCCTTCGGCTCAGGTCATGATCTCAGGGTCCTGGGATCCAGCCCTGCGTCAGGCTCCCTGCTCAGCGGGGTGTCTGCTTCGCCCCCTCCCTCTGCTCCTCCACCCTGCTCGTGCTCTGTCTCTCTCTCCCTCTCCCTCAAATAAATAAATAAAATCTGTAAAAAAAAAAAATCCTCTGGTTAAAGTCATCATCCCATATCCCCCAGGAAGAGGACTCCCTTAGGAGCTGCACCCAGCCCTTGATCAGTGCCAATGGTAGGTATGGACTTAGTACAAAAAAACACAGATTAATTTCAAAGCAGAAGATGGGGCCCTTGGTTAATTATGTTCTCCATAGTTGGAAATCCTGTAGGTACATTATCATGGATACCAGTGAGATTACCCTCTCTTATTAGCCTTTAGAAAACCAATTATGTTTCTGTGACTGACATTACCTCTGTGTATTTGGTCAGAGCTCAGCGACCCTCACTTTCCCCAGCTCATACTCATTTTGTATGGGCATCATAATTTAGTTTTATTATTAGCAATCATTTGATTGTACTTAAATTCCATGGATGTCATCATTTTAATGTTTTTATTAAGGAGAAAAGGCTGATCTCAATGATGTGAAAACTGTTCTGGAAAACATGGGGATAGAGCTCAAAGATAAAGAATGCTTGGACCTGATGAAACATCTTCTTTCTAAGGGTAAACGTTTTAAATACTGTTGTAACCAAAAAGGGACTTTAGATTTCTGTGTCTGTGAGAATCTCTAAAATTATCTCCATTTCCTCAGTTCCAGGATGGAAAGTCCATCTCAAAAAAAATTTTTTTTAGAATGTCCATTTATACCTGAAATGAATCCCTATCTACAGTTTTACTTTTAGATTGGGAAACAGCATTTCCATAATGATGAGTGTTATTATCAAACATGAAAAAAAAAAGGCTTAATCTGGGATTTGTGGAAAGAGGAAAAGGATTATTTAGAAGTGAATAAAGCAGAAATGGGGAGAAGAAAAGAGGTGTGTGTGTTGTAGAATGCTTGATGTGCTAAATTTCACCCAATTTTCTCTCAGATTTTATTATAAGAGAACATTTCTAGTGAAAACTCTTGAAAAGCCGTTTATCCAGGAGTATCCTAGTGATTTTCCACATTTCTCTGTGACTTAAATTCTCCCTTTTCTTATAGATGATGACAAGATCTTTCAAAACAGGTTGCTAGAAGTTGTGAAGTCTCTAAAAGGTATGTGAGCAGCCTAATGAAAGTGCAGACAAATATGACATCTTTGCTTTTACGCTGTTTCCAAGATATTAGTGTATGCTGCTATCTCTCATATACACTGATTGTAAATTTATGTTCCCACTGAAGATCAAGCTTCACTTTAGCTGCCAACATTTTACTTCATATCTAGGAAGAAAGTCTTGCACTTTCTCAAGATTTTCCCAAACTTTTCAAGAAAACAAATATCAGATTTCAAGTCTGCATAGCAAAATGTAACAGAAAAGATTAGCACTGACTCAGGGAATTTAATCAGCTGCTGATAAATACTAAACTGGGAGTTCGGTCATCAAATTAAATATTGTTTCTACTTTACTTCTGAACAAATAACAAAATATTGTTCAGAAGTAAAACATGTTTCCCTCCAGGACTAGAATTCACTTAGCATTTATTCAGGTGCTGTTTAAAACTTTGTGTTTTATAGTCTGGTCCCCAAGACAAGTCTCAAGAGAAGTGACCTTAATTCTAATGTCATAGTTGAGTTTCTCTATAGACATAAGGTCCTTAGTCTCTTGTTCTAAAATTGATGGGTTTTTTTTCACACTTTACAACAAGCATTATTAACCCTACTACTGGGGGGGGGTGTCTGTGAATAGGCTTTGAAGAATACATAACCCCCCTGAAATTATACACAATCTTTGTGAACACAGACATTTGGTTCATGAAATTCACAACAGGATATGTGTCTCTAAAAGGTTTAAGAACCTCTTTTTTAGAGTTATATAATTATCTTCATGGACTGTCTCTTTCCTTAGATGGGAAAGTCAATGTCAACGACTTGAATGCTATACTGGATAATATGGGAATCAAGATCTCAGATAAGGAACTTAAGGTTCTGACTAAAAATCTCCCTGCTGATGGTGAGCAAGTTTTCAGATACCATTGTTACATGCTGGGAGAGCTTAAGTATAAGAACCATAGCCAGTGGTCCAAGGGAAAGGGGCCTTAGGAAAGGTAATCTACCCTGATAGTAATCAAGAAGCTATAAATATGGGCAAAGCATGTAACCAGCATAAAAGCACGCAGTTACCAAAACCAACATGAAAACATTGCACTTTGTATGTATGTCTTTTATGTTCTTTACCCATATTATGGTCACTAGAAAACACTCTTCCACATTTTGAATAGAAAAATGCAGGCAACTTAAATGATGGTACTTCTGAATTTCTTCCCATTACTAACACATAGGGGTTTGAAATATTATAGAACTTTAAGTAAAATTTATATTATTGAAATGGTATATTTTTATATTTAAGCTTTTCTTTCTAATATTAAGGAAGACAATAAAAACTGAATAAATCAATAGCCTAGAAAAATATTATTCAGTAAGTATTAATTAAGTAACCATATGTAAGGCATTTAAGATAGTGCCTGGCACAAAGTAAGTGAGGATTTATTATCTTTACTCCCATGTTGTCTTTCACAGTATTTTGTGAGTCTTTTTTAATCTCAGTGTGAGTTTGATTTTCTCCTACAGTTGATAGGAGAATTTCACTAAAAAGACCAATGAATGAAGTGAAAGGTAATTTTACAGGTAAATGAGAAGTTAAGGTAAATCTAGGGTTTCAGTCTTTTATATTCGTTTTTTTTTCCAGTGGCATTTCTAGTATCTTATTAAATTCTGATGTTTCATTATTAAATACATGCTTCTAAGGCCCCTTGGATTGGCATTAGGAAGACTTCTGCAATAGAATACAAGACTATATGTCAACTTTAAATCCTAAGTTTTCTGTTGCTTGTGTAAGTAATATGCTTCATGTCACAAATGTTTAACTGAACATCACCTAGAAATGTATATGGTAAACCTTAGAAGTGATGGAGATAATGTATTCACTGAAATCATCAATAATTCTCACCAAAACAATCAAGTTTTTTTGAAGAATAATTTAGATAAGAATCTGCATGACCTTAATTCACTCATCAGATTTTATTCTGGAAGTTGTCTTTCCTGACTTTAGAAAAACTCTTTTTAATTTATATTAAACATGGTATTTTATAAATACCATAAGTCATGCTCAATGGTTCTACAATTGAGAATATCTTTGCCTAACTCTTCATCTTGAAACTGGGATATCATTAAACTGCAGAGAGCATATTTTATAACTTGGGATAATATGAGAGTACCTAAAGCTCATACATGTACCATCTCCTCTCTTGAAAGGTGAGAAGATTGATTCTAGTGACTTGAAAAATTTCCTGGGAAGCCTGGGGATTAAGCTCACAGATAAGGAAAAAGAGAAGCTGCTGAAAACACTGCCAGTTGATGGTGAGCTATCATAGAGGTGCCATGGTCTTTTGTGAGTCTGTGTAAATATCTCCAACTTTGTTTCTGTTTATTTTCCTCCAAAAATGCAAAAGAAAAAATATTAAATTAAGTTCTAAGTTATATGTCTTAGAATTTATAATGGAAGTAACCCTTCAGACAAGAGTTGACATTAACAACTAAACATGTTGTTACCTGTCAAGCCACTAATTTGTTTATATCATGAGAAGAGAAAAAAAGAGAGAGAGAGAGATTGGAGATCCATGAAGAAAAAAATAAAGATAGAAAGCAGAAATAAAAAGAAAGGGGAGTTCTATATGATTTCACTCATATGTGGAATTTAAGAAACAAAATAGATGGACGTAGGGGAAGGGAAGGAAAAATAAGATAAAAACAGGGGAAGGCAAACCATAAGACACTCTTAACTATAAGAAACAAACTGAGGGTTGCTGGAGGAGCAGTGGGTCAGGGGGATCGGGTAACTGGGTGATGGGCATTAAGGAGGGTACATGATGTAATGAGCACTGGGAGTTATATGCAACTGATGAATCACTAAACTCTACCCCTGAAACTAATAACACTGTATGTTAACTACGTTGAATTTAAATTTTAAAAATTGAAAGAAAAAAAGGGAAGCTATACTCATGTTTGAGCAAGTAGACTCCCTCAGGAAGAGGAATATTTGTCACCATGAGAGAAGTTTCTATTTCAAACTTTGCTATATAAGATGAAATAAACTAAAAATTAGAGACAAGTCTTCTTAAAATGTTATTTCTGAAATTATTTAATTCATGCCATTTTTGTGATTCCATGTTAGTTTCACCATTAAATGAAATATGGATTTTCTTACAGCTGCTGGAAAGGTATATCAAAATGGGTTGCTGAAGGCTATGAAATCTCTCAAAGGTAAGTAAGAAACCCAGTTAAAAGTCATATTGTCTGACATTCCCCAACTTCACAACATTGAATTATGAATCCTGGCTCCTCACTTTGATATCATTCCATATTTATGATTCTTTCAGTCTATCCACATTTTAACTGATAACAGCATATATTTTATCTTGTAGGAAATTCCATATACTCTTGCATTTTTTTCAACTTTGTACACCCCTACCCCACAAAAATCAATCAAACCTAGGAAGTCACAGTGTAAGTGAAGTGAAGGGTTAGCTTTATTCAAGGGATCTGGTCAACTCTATGAATAGCTAATATAGAAACTCAGGCAAAAAAATATATTTATAGCCCCTATTTATTGCATACAAGTATTATATTGGTTGTCTGCAGTTCCAATTGCTTAATCTGCTTAATTTGTTTTGTTATATAGGCTTGTTACTAAGACAAGCTCTAATTTTAACTATTTTCTTGACTTTGTATACTTGGACAAATCTATTTGGGATTTTGGCTTTGTTGAAAGGTAATATACAAAGACACAAAATACATTTTTCTTTTTTGTTCTGTTTTAGTTTAATAGAATTTATGACTATTATATCCATTAGGGCTTGATTAGGGAAGCAAAATCACTATAAGTGACATGGAATAAGATTTATTGTAAGGATTAGATTTTATGCAATTGTGAGAGCTGGTGAAGAAATCTCTGAAAGCTGTTGCCCCCGCTTTTGGTTGTGGGCCTAACATCCTGCCATCACTGTAGTCAGTAAGGCCAGCACTCAGGAGGAAAAACTGGTGACAGAGTTGGGGAGAACGAGAAAAAATGAGAACCCATGAGGACAAACCGGAATCTTATTTCCCCCACCCTTAAGAATGTAAGTGACCTGAAAAAGAAACTGGCATCTGTCTCCAAGGAGATATACATGTGCTTAGCCAAGACTAGCTTCCACCCCATGCCAACAAGGCAGTCCAGAAGATTAAGAACAATATCATGGGCTGTAATGGCACCTGGAACCCAACACTGACCTTTTTTTTTTTTTTGTAATTTTTTTTTTTTTTTTTTTTTGAGACAGAGAGAGAGTGCGTGTGTGAGCCAGAGCAGGGTTGGAGGTGGGGGAGCAGAGGGAGAGGCAGGGAATGTTAGGCTCAATCTCACAACCCTGAGATCATGACCTGAGCCAAAATCAAGAAGTCAGACGCTTAACGGACTAAGCCACCCAGGGACCCCCCTGACACTGACCTTTAGAGTGTAGGAGCAGCTGCTTTACTTGTGCCTTCCAAATCTCATGCAACATTTTCTGGGGCAAGCCAGAACTCTATAGGGAAGGGAAGTCCTAGAAATATAATTCCAGCTTAGCCAGTTTGACACAGTTAACAGTCTACCATCATCTTCCCCTTGGCATCCATATATACATCTTTTAGCCTCTCTTATATTTCTAATAATAATAACAATTTCTCATATAACCAAAACTATGCTAACTCTCTTCTCAGAAGATGTTACAAAATCCCAGCTATCCCTCTATCCACCTCTAGATTATGTTTATTTTCTAATTGACTCACATTCTTCCTTGACATCCTATAACTTAAACAAGGATATATAAGGCTAACTACTGTTCACAAATTTTATGTAGATGCAGGGAAATGGGGGAGGAGATTAAAAGAAAAGAATTGGTTAAAATATTCACAAATATATCTATATCAAAAAATATAGAGGCGCCTAGGTGGCTCAGTCATTAAGCATCTGCCTTCGGCTCAGGTCATGGTCCTGGGGTCCTGGGTTTGAGCCCCTCATCGGGCTCCCTGCTCAGCTGGAGGCCTGCTTCTCCCTCTCCCACTCCCCTTCTTGTGTTCCCTCTCTCTCTGTGTCTCTCTCTGTCAAATAAATCAATAAAATCTTTTAAAAATATATATAGAAATACTCATAACTGTTACAATCTTGTGCAGTTCGTTAGCAACTGGTCATGTTGTTGTAGCTAGTATTTATCTTTCTTTTCCCACTGCCATTTCATACCGCTCTTTCTCTAACCAAGCACTTCAGCTGCTCCTACCTCCTTACCCGGTAGGTGATCCTAAATTTTGTTCCTGAAGGATAAGGGCCATTATCAGACCTGTCTGTATTGGATTGGATTGTTTAATTTACAATTAACTTTAATCACAAGGCAAGGGGATATCAGCAGGTGTCCTAGATTCTAGACATATTTATCTCTATCCCCACTTTCTAGTAGCAGCAGCCCGGTTTCCCCTGATGGTCAGAATAAATCACTCCAACCAGTAAAGTCATCCCTTTCTTTACTTGTAGACTCATAGCAACAGGAAGCCAAAGTGGCTCAGATTCAGTTTTTTTTTTTCTTCCTCAGTCAGTTGGCCATAGGATACATAATTGACATATAACATGTAGGTTTAAAGTATACAGTGTGATGATTTGGTACTCTTAAATATTGCAAAATGATTACCACATTCTTCACCTCACCTTAAAAAAACATATTAAATAAATAGAATGTTGGGCACCTGGGTGGCTCAGATGGTTAAGCGTCTGCCTTCGGCTCAGGTCATGATCCTAGGGTCCTGGGATCAAGTCCCACATTGGGCTCCCTGCTCCTTGGGAGCCTGCTTCTCCCTCTGCTTCTCTCTCTCTCTCTCTGTCTGTCATGAATAAATAAATAAAATCTTAAAAAAAAGAGTTTAAAAAAATAAATAAATAGAATGTTGATACGCATGCAAAATTTTGGTATAATATGCTTTTTTTCATATTATATTCATAGTCCTACATTATCTCTTTCCTAAGGGGGGAAGGTTCGTGCAAATGACCTGGAAAACACTCTAAAAAAACTGGGAATTGAGCTCACAGAAGAGGAACTTACAAAGCTGTCAGAAAACCTACAAATTGATGGTGAGCACTACAGCTATCTTCAGGGCATCTTTTATTTTGCTTTATAACTGATATGTTTAAAAATAGATTTATTTGACAGATACATGTTAGAAAGCTTGGAGGAAGCCCAATTTTGTTTTTTTAATTTAAATTTTTTAAGTTTCAATTCCAGTATAGTTAACATACATGTTATATTATTTCAGGTGTACAATATAGTAATTCAACAATTCTGTACATTACTCAGTGCTCGTCATGATAAGTGTACTCTTCAATCCCCATCACAAATTTCACCCATTCTCCCACCCACCTCCCCTCTGGTAACCACCAGTTTGTTCTCTATAATTAAGAGTCTGTTTCCTGGTTTGTCTCTCTCCCTCCTTTTTTTTTCTTCTTTGTTTGTTTGTTTTTTTCTTAAATTCCACAGATAAGTGAAATCGTATGGTATTTGTCTTTCTCCGAGTGACTTATTTCACTTAGCATTATACTCTGTAGCTCCATCCATTTGTTGCAAATGGCAAGATTTCATCCTTTTTTATGGCTAAAAAATAGTCCTCTGTGTGTGTGTGTGTGTGTGTGTGTGTGTGTGTGTGTGTGTGTCACATCTTCTTTATCCATTCATTTATCAATGGATACTTGGAGGAGAGCCTAATTTTAAAGTCAGAATAAATCTTGGGTCTTCATTATAATTAATCTAAAATAGCATCACCTTTCCCTATGTATACCAAGAATTGCAGAGGGTGCTCTCAGGATTCTAATAAGTGTAGATAATAAGAAAGCAAAATAACAGGGATATGAAAAACAGGAAGTCAACAGGCCCATTCTTCTATCCTTCTGTCTACTGAAATCTTCACTCTAAAATGAATTCAAAGATTCTTATCATAGCATAAACTATGATAAGAATACTTTCAATCTCCATCTGCCTGTCTGGATATATCTTCTCTCATTTTCCTTCTGTTCAAGCCATGTTGAACTATTTGTGGTTTCATACACACATAGCATGATGCCCCTCTACTTTTCCCTTTTCTTAATTTCTCCATGTGAATTCTTTTCCATTCTTCCATATTTCAGATCAACCACTCTGATACATTAATGTAGTTCATGCATTATCTCCTGTAGGAAGCAATCTTAGAACATACCAGGCTAGATTAATGGTCCCTTCCTCAGCTGTTTGTTGGTACATGAAGTAAAGTTTCCAGAGTACCTGGCCAACTCCAATAGTATCTTCAACTATGGCTTATAATGGCATCCAAAACACTAGGAAGAACACACTTTTCCTGGCCAAGTTTCTAAGCTATAAGAAACCTTTGTATTAATGGAATCATTTTAACTCCCTGAGATCCAGACATTTAATAAATGATCTCAGGTAAAATGAAAATATAGGGAATTTTTCATGTAATTGTTTCCACAAAATATATGTCTTAGATTTGTGTTCTGTGCTTATTTGCATTGTGCCATTTCTTGTAGCTAATGGGATGGCTGGTCTGAAAGAGGTGATGGATGGAGTAAAAGCTACTACAGGTAAGTGAGAAATTATCAATCTAAGACATTTAGTATTTATAGTAACTATATTTTATCATTATCCCTCAATTGCCATTTAGTTAATGACATTTATTTCCTTATTCATTAAATTATTAGCAATTCATTTATTTTCTGGTATATTTTTTATTTATATGTTTTGTTCTTCTTTCTTTTAGAACAGCCAAATTCTATATTAGTAAAATAATATATAAAGTAAAATTTTAGTAAAGACTACAGAAAAGTTACAAAAATGAGACTAAATAAGATCTTACCTTATTTGATACAATTATTTGAATAAGTAATTTATAATATTCTAATTGAATAGATAGATACATGATGTAAATTTCACTGGGTTCAGAGTTGCCTTGCCATTGTCAATATGATTGTGACTTCCTTTATTAGCATTTAGCGATCAAATTCTTTTCCTGTGAATGTCATAGTCGGTATACATGGAGAGGTCTCATTGGCCTTTGTTCTTTATTCTGTACATATTCAAGCTACATAGCCATAGATTGATTTTTCCCTATTTGGAATCATTAGGTGATCCTTTAAATTCATATATGTAATGATGTCTGCCTTTTTTAAGGAGGAGAGGTTGATGCCAAAGACGTGAAAACTATTCTGAAAAACATGGGATTAGAGTTCACAGATAAGGAACGTTTGAAGCTGATGAAAAATCTGCCTTTCAATGGTAAGCATTTCAAATATTGATGTGACCTTAAAGGGTTTTATTAAGCTTTTTAAAAAAATTTTTGTTTAAATTCCAGTTAGTTAACATACAGTTTCAGGTGTAGAATTCAGTGATTCAACACTTCCATACATCATCTTATGCTCGTCATAACAAGTGCCCTCCTTCATCCCCATCACCTATTTCACCCATCCTGCCACCTACCTCCGCTCTGGTGACCATCAGTTTGTTCTCTATATTTAAGTCTGTTTCTTGGTTTTGCTCTCTTTTTTTCCCCCTATGTTCATCTGTTTTGTTTCCTTTTGAGATTTTTTCAAAAACTCAAACTATCCCCATCTGTTAAGACGCAAAAATAAATAAATAAACAAACAATGCCCATCTCAAAAACTTATTCCTGAGGGAAATTTCCATCTATGCAGTTTAACTTTCCGTTTTGGAATAAGCATCCCCATCATATTGACTCATACCATTGAGGGGAATACATTTCTGAGGATACCCTTACCTTGTAGATAGCTACAGGCAGTTGTGGGAAGTAAACAAGGGAAGGAGGGGTGTTAAACTGGGAGGGGATAAAAAGTGAGAGGTGCTATTACCAAAAACATTGTGCATATTATAGTGTGCCTTGTGTGCTAAATTTTGGATAGATTTACTGTATTATAAACTTTCCCTAATTTTCTCTCAAAATTTATTTTAATGGGGGAAATTTCTAGAGTAAATCATGAAAATCTCGGTTTTACTGAAATAATTTTAGTGAAAAGCTACATCATTTCTCTATGACCTTAATTGTGCCCCTTTTTATAGATGATAACAAGGTCTTTAAGAACAGATTGCTAGAAGGTGTGAAGTCTCTTAAAGGTGAGTGAGAAACATAATGGGAATGCAAATAAATATGAGATCTTCATTTTATACTGTTTCTGAAATATGAATTTGCTGCCATCTGTCATATATAATGATTGCAAATGTATACTTTTTTAGAACTCAATCTTTATCTTAGAAGATAATCTCATCTTCTATCTTGGAAGTAAAACACCACACTTTCTTGTCATTTTCCAAATTTTCAGGAGGAAAAATATCAAATTTCAAGTTTGCATAGCAAAAAAATATAGAAATGATTAGCAGTGATTCACGGAATTTAATAAATAGCAGAAAAAACTAAACTGGAAGTTCATTCATCAAAAGGCAACCTGTAGTTGTTTAGAACTAAAGAATGTTTACCTCCAGTACCAGAATTCCCTGAGCATTTATTAAACACCATTTATTTTTTTTCCACCAGAATTTTTTTTATTCACAAAGAAAATTGAGGCTAGCAAGAGTGGTAGTCCTCAGCTTTCTATCCCCAATCCCTACCTTTACAGGTATCTTTAAGCACACCCATCCTAGTATCAAAGGATGAGTGAGGAGTACCTCTTCCTCTGCAAGGCTTACAAAGATACCCTTGACTCCACCCTCTCCCACATCCACAAAACCTCACCCCATTCGCCATTTTCAACCTCTTCCTCTACAGACAAGCCTTTCAGCCCATGCACATGCTCAACATATCCCATCCTATAAAATAAGCAAACTAAAACTCTTCGCACCCCTCTTTGGCCACAACTCCATCTCTCTCTTCCCTTTCTCATTCACTTCTTCGGAGACTTGTACATACTCTGAGCCTCTATTTCTGTACCTTGCTCTCTTTCTCAAACTAATTTCAGTATTGAATGCCCTTTAAAACTTTGTGTTTGTGTAGGCTGGTCCCTAAGACAAGTCTCAAGGGAAGTAGCCTTAATGCTAACTTTGTAGTTGAGGACTTAAAATATTTGGCCTCTGTGCTAACATTGTTGAACATTAAATAATTTACTTTTTTCACTTTAGAGCAAATATTCTTTAGGTAAATTTTAGACTTTGAGGGAATCCTCGAATAGGCTTTAGTGAGTATACAACCTGTCTGAAACAGTGTGCAAATTTTGTGAGTAATGATCTAATGCTTAACAATTCACAATCAGATATGTGTATCAAAAGAGTATAAGAACTTCTCTTTTGGAGTCATTTAATATTCTTGATGGGCTGTTATTTTTCTTAGGCGGGAAGGTCAATATCGACAACCTGGACACCATTCTGAACAACCTGGGGATCAAGCTTGCAGATACTGAACTTAAAGATCTGGCTGAAAACATGCATGTTGGTGGTAAGCATGTTATCAGATACACTGGTTAACCCTGGAGAAAGTTTAATTAAAAAAACCTTTGAGGGAAGAAATGTCCTTTTCCATAAGGGGAAGGGAAGGCCCAAGAGCCATGTGGTGATACACCATAACCATGACTAAAACACAAAGAATGTCATTTGAGTTGATGAGTATCTAGTTAACAAAGTCAAAAATAAAACAGTTTTTTATATGTGTGATATGTGTGACTTTTATGCTGTCTATAAGTATCATTTATATGTGGGATATGTGTGACTTTTATGCTGTCTACAAGTATCATTTATATGTGGGATATGTGTGACTTTTATGTCTACAAGTATCATGGTTAGTAGCCTTTCCAGTTTTGAATATAAGAATGCAGGATCTTTCAACACACTCACTTCTGAGTAACTTCCTCTTACACAAATAAATTTGAGATGTTATAGGCCAAATTGCATCATTGCAATTGTTTGGTTTTCGTGTTTAGAATTTTCTTCTTATTCATGCTTGTCTTAAAATAAAAACTGGGGAGGGGCACCTGGGTCGCTCAGTCATTAAGCGGCTGCCTTTGGCTCAGGTCATGATCCCAGGGTCCTGGGATCGAGCTCTGCATCGGGCTCCCTGCTGGGCGGGAAGCCTGCTTCTCCCTCTCCCGCTCCCCCTGCTTGTGCTCCCTCTCTCGCTGTGTCTCTCTCTGTCAAATAAATAAAATCTTTTAAAAAATTAAAAAGTAAATAAATAAATAAATAAAAACTGGTGAGAATAATCTAGAAAGTGTGTTCAACAGTATTGGTTAAATAAATATATAAAACAATTAGGATGGGGCCTGACACATAGAAGTGCAACTATTATAGTTGTTCCTCTGTTTTTCCACAAACTTTGGTATTGTATCTCATAATATAATATATGCGCTCTATATGATATATGAGATCTATACCATATGATATCTATAATATACTGTGATTTTGATCTTCTCCTATAGTTGATGAGAAAATTCCTCTAGAAACACTGATGGAAAACATCACAGATTTTACAGGTGAGTGAAAAGTTACCATAAAATTAGGATTCCAGTTATCTACATTAAATTTTGTTTTTTCTGATATTTTCTACTACTCCATCATTGACTTATAAATTCTGGTATTTCTCTATATTTATTAATGAAGTATTTGTCTCTAGAGTTTCATGTATTGTTATAAAATTATTTGTTTTTGCAATGAAATTATCATACTATTTCTTGCTTTCAAATTCTGCAATCTGTTGTTTATGTCAATAATATAATTCACTTCACCAGTGATTAATAACCACAGTATAGAATGACACAGCAAATCAGAGAGTGGAGCCTAAAATTGATTAAGGTAATGTCTTCGTTGTATTTATCATATAATTCTTATTTTTTAATTAAAATACTTTTTTCAAAGAAAAATTCATGTAAGCATCTATTTTTTTAATTAATAGATCAAATTTTATTCTGAAAGTAGTCTGCTCCTGATTTTAGAAGAAACTCTCATGTTCATATTAAGGAAATAAATTTGACCTAACACCTATATTGATTTTGTAGTTGAGAATGTTTCATTTTTACTTTATTCTTCAATCTGAAAACAAGGAGATGATATTAATTGTCCTAAAATAATTTTTTCATTAGAAATAATTATTGCTATGTGAAATAAAGATGTATACCAAATTTCCTATTTTCAAAGGTGAGAAGATTGAGTCAAGTGATCTAAAAAATGTTCTGAGAAATCTCGGAATTGAGCTTGCAGATAAGGAACTAGAGAAGATGCTGAAAATACTGCCAGTTGATGGTGAGTCATACAAGTGTCTGTGGAAGCTTCCAGGGAACTTGGATTTTTGTGGATCTGCATGAAAATTTTAATTTCTTCTAAAACATGATAGAACTTTTTTTTAAGATTTTATTTATTTATTTGACAGAGAGAGACACAGTGAGAGAGGAAACACAAGCAGGGGGAGTAAGAAAGGGAGAAGCAGGCTTCCCGCTGAGCAGGGAGCCTGACGCGGGGCTCCATCCCAGGACCCTGGGATCATGACCTGACTCTAAGGCAGATGCTTAACGACTGAGCCACCCAGGTGCCCCTAGAACATTTTTTAAAAACTAACATGTAAGCTACATATAAAAACTGTAAGTGTCATTTAGAGTTTATTTTGGAAGCCAAGTGATTCCTCAAATGTGAGTTGCCATCAGAGCTAACAAATGTCTACTTGTTGCCCTTCAGGGCTTATACCATAAGAAGGAAAAAGAAAGAGATAAGAGAGCAGTGGAAGAAATTAAAGATAAAAGTGAGAATTAAAAAGAAAGGGAAGATATATTTATACAGTACAGTAAGCCCACTCAAGGGGACAAGTTTATCATATTGAAAAAGGCTTCTCTTCCTTAATTTCATTGTTATATAAAGATGAAAATTTTGGGTAAAACATTTTTAACAGAATTACTGAGATATCATCCATATGCCATACAATTAACCCAGTAAAGTATACAACTCGGTGAATTCTAATGTATTCACAAAATTGTGCATTCATCACCACAATCAATTTTAGAACATTTTTATTATCCCAGAAAGATACCCCATACCCATTGACCATCACCTCCCAATTTCTCCATTCCCCCTCAGCCCTGAGCAACCACTAATCTATTTTCTATCTCCATCAGTTTTCCTATTCTGAATGTTGCACATAAATAGAATCATATAATATGTGGTCCTTTGTGACTAGTTTCACTTAGCACAGTGTTTTCAAGGTCCATCCCTATCCTATTATGTATTAGTACAGTTGACCCTTGAACAACACAGGGGTTAGGAGCACTGACTCCCTGTGCAGATGAAAATCCATGTATAACTTTTGACTTTCCAAAAACTTAACTAATTGCCTACTGTTGACCAGAAGCCTGATAACATAAACAGTCCATTAATATATATTTTGTATGCTATATGTATTATATACTCTTACAATAGGTAAACTAGAAAAAAGAAAGTGTTGTTAAGAAAATCATAAGGAGGGGCGCCTGGGTGGCTCAGTCGTTAATCATCTACCTTTGGCTGAGGTCATGATCCCAGGGTCCTGGAATCGAGCCCCGCATCGGGCTCCCTGCTCAGTGGGGAGCCTGCTTCTCCCTCTCCCACTCCCCCTGCTTGTGTTCCTACTCTCACTGTCTCTCTCTCTGTCAGATAAATAAATAAATAAAATCTTTAAAAAAGAAAAGAAAAAATTGTAAGGAAGACGGGTGCCTGGGCGGCTCAGTTGATTAAGCCTCCAACTCTTGATAACACCTCAAGTCACAATCTCACCGTCCTGGGATGGAGCCTGGTATGCGGCTCCAGGCTCAGCACAGAGTCTGCTTGAGATTTTCTCCCTCTGCCTCTGCCCTTTTCCCCTCCCCCTTCTTGCACTCTCTTTCTTTCTCTCTCTAAATCGTAAGGAAGAGAAAATACATTTATAGCACTGTAAACACTCCATATATAAGTGGACCTGCACAGTTCAAACCCCTGTTTTTCAAAGATCAACCGACATTTTAGCTATTATGAATAATACTCCTCTGAACATGCATGTACAAGTTTTTATGTGGATACATATTTTCTTTTGTCTGGAGTATATACCTTAAGAGTGAAATTGTTGGGTCATATAGTAACTCTATGTTTAACCTTTTGAGGAAACCAGGCTGTTTTCCAGAGTGACGGCCTACTTTACATTTCCACCCGCAGTGTACCAGAGTTCCACTTTCTCCACATCCTAGTCAACACTTATTATTATCTGTCCTTTGATTATATTGTAGTGAGTGTGAGATGGTATCTTATTCTGGTTTTGATTTCCCTGCTGGCTAATGATGTTAAGCATCTTTTAATGTGTATATTGGCTAAATGTATATCTCCTTTGGAGGAAAATCTTTTCATAACCCTTGTCCATTTTTAAATTTAGTTATCTTTTTATTATTGAATCGAAGTCCTTTATATATTCTAGATACAAGTCCCTTATATTTTCTAAATACAAGTTCCTTTTCAGATATATGATTGCAAGAGTCTTCTCCTGTTCTGTGAATTATCTTTTTACTTTCTTGATAGTGTTCCCTGATGCACAAAAGTTTTTAATTTTGTTGTCCAGATTATAATTTTTTTCTTTTGTTGCTTGTGCTTTGGGTGTCATATATAAAAAACTATTGTCTAATCTAAGGTTAAGAAAATTTACAGCTGTTTTAACATTTTTATTGTTTTAGCCCTTATAGTTAGATCTTTGATCCATCTTGAGTTAATTTTATTTATTTATTTATTTATTTTTACAGAGAGAGAGTGTGAGCAGGGGCAGAGGGGGAAGGAGAGAGAGAATCCCAAGCAAGCTCCACACCCAGCACAGAGCCTTTTGCGAGGCTTGATCTCATGACCCTGAGATCACAATCCAAACCAAAATCAAGAGTCAGATGCTTAACTTACTGAGCCATCCACGTGCCCCATATTGAGTTAATTTTTGTATATGGTGTGAGATAGGGATCCAAAAGAATATTCTCTTTGCACATGAATATCCAGTTGTCCCAGCACCATTTGTTGAAGAGACTATTCTTTCTTCATTAAATGGTGCTGGTACCCTTGTCAAAAATCAATTGACCATAAACTGGAAGGCTTATTTCTGGATTCTGAATTCTATTCCATTGATCTATATATCTACTTTTATGCCAGTCCCCCACTGTCTTGATTACAGTAGTTTTGTAGTTTTTAAAATGAAAAGTGTATGGGTTGCCTAGATGGCTCATTTGGTTAAGTGTCCAAGTATTGGTTTCAGGTCATGATCTCATGGGTTGTGGGATTGAGCCCAATATGGGGCTCTGTGCTCAGCAGGGAGCCTGCCTGAGATTCTCTCCCTCTTCCCCTGCCTGTCCACCCATGCACACTTGCAAGTGAGCGTGCTCTCTCTCTCAAATAAATAAATAAATAAATAAATAAATATTAAAAAAGAAAGTGTGAGTCCCCCACTTCTGTTTCCTTTTCAAGATTATTTTTGCTATTTGGGGCCCCAGCTTTACCATATGAATATTAGGATCAGCTCATCAATTACTGCAAACAAACCAGCTAGAATTTTTTATAAGATTGCATTGAATCCATGGATCAATTTGGGGAGTATTGCCATATTCACAATATTAAGTCTTCCAATCCATAAACATAGGATGTCCTTTCATTTACTTAGGTCTTCTTTAATTTCTTTCTACAATGTTTGATAGTTTCTAGAGTATAAATTTTGTACTCCTTTTGTTAAATTTATTCTTAAGCATTTTACTCTTTTTGATGCTCTTGCAAATGGAATTGCTTTCTTAATTTCCTTTTGGGTTTGCTCATTGCAACAGTATAGAAATACAGTTGTGGGCACCTGGGTGGCTCAGTTGGTTAAGTGACTGCCTTCAGCTCAGGTCATGGTCCCAGAGTCCTGGAATCGAGAAGCAGGCTCCCTCAGCAGGGAGCCTGCTTCTCCCTCTGACCCTCTCCCCTCTCATGCTGTTTCTCTCTCTCTCCCTGTCAAATAAATAAATAAATAAAATCTTAAAAAAAAAAAAAGTTGATTTTTATATATTGATAAAAGACTAGATTTTCTGTTTCCAAAATTATTCTATTCATGCTATTTTTGTGAATCACATATTCATTTTGCCATTACATGAATTATGACTTTTCTTTCAGCTAATGGAAAGTTATATCGTAATAGATTACTGAAGGCTATGAAGTCTCTCAATGGTAAGTAAGAAACAAAATTATAAGGCATATTATCTAAGTTCTCCAGATATATCATCCAAGCATGAATCTTGGTCCTATATAAGTTTTTACTTAGGATTCTTTCAGCATAACTACATTCCATCTGCTGTTAATATACACTTTCTCTTGGCAGGAAGTCCAGTATCTTCTTAGATTTTTTTCAACTCTTTCTCAAAAAGGAAAATCAATTCTACCGAATACAAACAAAAAACCCTGGTCATTATTGAAGAGAATGATCAGCTACAATGATAACTAATATTTTGAGTCAGTAAACAAAAATTACCCTACTTTCTGTGCTGAGTAATTAAGTTAGTGGTCTGCAGTTCTATTTGTTTAAGCCCCTTAACCCTGTTTTATTATGTAAGCTTGTCAACAAGAATAGACTAAAGGAAATATAATTCTAATTCTGACTCTCTTGACTTTCTCCTTGGGTCTTCAAGTGGACAAGTCTATTTGGGGTTTTAGTCTTGGTGAAATTTAACGATAACAAAGGCATGAAATATATTTTATGTTTTGTCTCTTTTGTTTTAATAATATGTGGTCATTAAAGTTAAGTTTTACTAAAAATTTTTTTAATTTTGCTACATATAACTTTTTTTTTCAAATATTGCTTCACTGTCTCTTTCCTAAGATGGGAAGATGAAAAAGAATAAACTGCATACTAATTTGGAAAATATGGGATTGAGACTCACAGAAGAGGAATTTGCTGAATTGTCAGGACAACTACAAGTTGATGGTGAGCACTAGGGCATCTGTTGATCTTCTGTTTAAAGGCGTGTCAATTAAAATTGGGATGTGAGTCAAATTCAGCTGGACTTTATTATACTAAATAAATAATTTATATCTTTTTCTAAGCTCATGTCATTGATTATATGTCTCTTTTGGGCTTATGTAGCGAATGGGAATGTTGATCTGCCTAACTTGATGGAAGCAGTGAAAGCTATTACAGGTGAGTACAAAGTCACTATAAACCTAGAATTCCTATTGGAACAGAACTGTATTTTACTGTTAACCTTAATTGCCATGTTGATTCTGTTACTGTACTCCTTATTGTAAATATTTGTCTAGAGTTGGACTTTGTGGTGTCCATGTTTTGGTAATAAAATTTTAGTCTCATGTCTTGGTAGAAAGACCCTTCTTCCCTAGAAAATTTTAAACTTAAAAATAACATTTTTAGAGTCACTAGATTTTCCTCACAGGCCTTTCTCTTTCTGATTAAGGGAAGGTTGACATCAAGAACCTGGAAACTGTTCTAGGCAACATGGGAATCAAGCTCACTGACAAAGAACTTGCAGATCTGAAACAAAACCTGCCTGTCAGTGGTGAGCATATGAGATATCATTGGATTTTGAGCTTTAGGTTTTATGTACCTTTAGCAATGAGAGGAATGGAACAAGGGAACTTTTCATGCAGAAGATGTCAAGATTGGAGATGAGACAATAACACTGACAAAGAAGTTGGGAATGTAGTATTTGGACACAGGTGGCACGGTCACTAGAAGAGTCTCCCCAATTCTGAGAACAAGAAAGCCACTTTTGAATACCATCTTTTCATCATCAAATTCAAGAGTGGATATTTTATGAAATAGAAAGTCAAATTTACATTTTTGAAATAAGTATATTTTTTTTATTTTAAGAGGTTTTTTTCCTTTTTTTTTAATTTTTTATTGTTATGTTAATCACCATATATTACATAATTTGTTTTGGTGTAGTGTTCCATGATTCATTGTTTGTTCATAACACCCAGTGCTCCATGCAGAACGTGCCCTCCTCAATACCCATCACCAGGCTAACCCATCCCCCCACCCTCCTCCCCTCCAGAAACCTCAGTTTGTTTTTCAGAGTCCATCATCTCTCCTGGTTCGTCTCCCCCTCTGACTTACTCCCCTTCATTCTTCCTCTCCTGCTATCTTCTTCTTTTTCTTTTTTCTTAAAATATGTTGCGTTATTTGTTTCAGAAGTACAGATCTGTGATTCAGCAGTCTTACACAATTCACAGCGCTCACCGTAGCACATATCTTCCCCAATGTCTATCACCCAGCCACCCCATCCCTCCCACCCCCGACCACTCCAGCAACCCTCAGTTTGTTCCTGAGATTAAGAATTCCTCATATCAGTGAGGTCATATGATACATGTCTTTCTCTGATTGATGAAATAAGTATATTTTTAATATTTAAAATTTTTTCTTCAGCTCCAGGCTCATAACATATTCTGAGTAAATATTTATTGAATGACTGTTTAAAATGCTTAATAAGATGCCCAGGACACTTAAGTGCTGTTACTGTCTGAAGGGGAGGAGGGTGTTCTTTTGCAATTTTACATCATCTTATGAGCGTCAAGTTATGGTTTTTTGTTACAGTTGGTAATAAAGTTGCTCTGAAAACTTTGAAGGATGAAGTGAAAGCTTTTACAGGTAAGATATAAATGATTTGCAATAAATCACGATTTACACTAAAAATTTTAATAGCGTGTTCTCAAACTTGTATTAGTGGCTTATAAATTCACATATTTTCAGTATTCATTTTGATAAACATTTGCATCTACTGATCAACAGCTTAATCTAACATTATCTGGGTTTATAAGTAAAACAAAAAGATAATTTCTTCATAATAAGTCTTATAATCTTTGATGCTTTTTTTCAATGAAAGTATCTGGCTGGTACTTATAGACCCAAAAACTAGATGGACACAGTAAAAGCAGGGTGGAGCATTAAAAATAGTTAAGTCCATTGCCAACAGCTAATCACATAGTTTTAAGAAAATAAAGTAAAATATGTCATAGTTTGTTAATTGTGTATTGTATTAACCATATCTTGACTTTATTTCTGGATAATTATATGACCAGATTTGTTTCTGCACAATGTGATATTATTCTCAGTATTAGGAATACATCTTATTTACTATTTTTTTAAAGATTTTATTTATTTGAGAGAGAGCGAAAGTGCACAAATGGGGGGAGGGGCAGAAGGAGAGAGAGAATCAGACTCCCTGCTGAGCACAGAGCCCCGATGTGGGGCTCAATCCCAAGACCCTGGGATCATGACCTGAGCTGAAGACAGATGCTTAACTGACTGAGCCACCCAGGTGTCCCTTCCTGTTTACTACGATTAAGGGACAAATTCTATTTTTTATTTACCATTTGACTCTTTTTATCAGGAAATCTTTCACTCTGCCTTTCCTTTTCATCCTGGTATTAGAGAAAAAACTAGAGCAGCAAAAGTATATATTTAGATGATCTTAAATAATTAGATTATCCCTTCATATTTTAACCTATTACTATTCCATCTTTTCAAAGGAGAAAAGATTGATTCCAGTGACCTACAAAATATTCTGAAAGACATGGGGATTGAGCTTACAGATATGGAGCACAAGCATCTGCTGAAAACACTGCCCATTGATGGTAAGTAAATGCCACATAAATGCCAACATGCCTTCCAGGGAACTTGATTTTATGGGTCAATGTGAGCCATTCTCAATCTTTTAATAGTACAGTTTTGTCTTTAAAATGCCATAAATTAATAGAAAGGGACTTCTGACTTGAAAAGAAATTCTGTCATTTCCTCTTCGAACACAACTGGAGATTCATCACCACACTGCCATATAGTTGTCCAAGTGACTAATACTACCCCCTCAGAGCAGCAATAGTTTTGCAATAAGAGCAATGAAAAGTAATGAAGGAGAAATAGGACATCAGTGGAATAAAAAAAAAGAAATATTTTAATGTATTTTTTAGAATTGCACCATGACAGAGTTTAATAAATGTTTCCTATTCCAAAGAATGGGTAAGTTTGTCACTGTGCAAAACACTTATATTTTTTTAAATTTTTTATTTTTATGTTAATCACCATATATTACATCATTAGTTTTTGATGTAGTGATTCATTGTTTGTGCATAACACCCAGTGCTCCATGCAGAACGTGCCCTCTTCAATACCCATCACCAGGCTAACCCATCCTCCCACCCCTCTCCCCTCTAGAACCCTCAGTGTGTTTTTCAGAGTCCATCATCTCTCATGGTTCATCTCCCCCTCCGATTCCCCACCTTCATTCTTCCCCTCCTGCTATCTTCTTCTTCTTTTTTTTTTCTTAACATATATTGCATTATTTCAGAGGTATTCAACAGTCTTGCACAATTCACAGTGCTCACCATAGCACATACCCTCCCCAGTGTCTATCACCCAGCCACCCCATCCCACCCACCCCCCCCACTCCAGCAACCCTCAGTTTGTTTCCTGAGATTAAGAATTCCTCATATCAGTGAGGTCACATGATACATGTCTTTCTCTGATTGACTTATTTTGCTCAGCATAATACCCTCCAGCTCCATCCACGTCGTTGCAAATGGCAAGATCTCATTCCTTTTGATGGCTGCATAATATTCCATTGTGTATATATACCACATCTTCTTTATCCATTCATCTGTCGTTGGACATCTTGGCTCTTTCCACAGTTTGGCTATTGTGGACATTGCTGCTATAAACATCAGGGTGCACGTACCCCTTCGGATCCCTACATTTGCATCTTTGGGGTAAATACCCAGTAGTGCAATTGCTGGATCGTATGGTAGCTCTATTTTCAACTTTTTGAGGAACCTCCATACTGTTTTCCAGGGTGGTTGCACCAACTTGCATTCCCACCAACAGTGTAGGAGGGTTCCCCTTTCTCCACATCCCCGCCAACATCTGTCGTTTCCTGACTTAAAACACTTATATTTTTAAATGTCCATATTCTATAACTATAAAATAGATTAATTTTTAAAGCAAATCATTGAAATGTATCTTTCTATAATCATAGAATTTATGTTTTGGTGACTCTTCATATCAATTTTCTAGAGATCTGAACTGTACCTTTTCTTACAGCTCATGAAAAGGTGTTTCAAAACAGGTTGCTGAAGGATGTGAGATATAATAAAAGTGAGTAAAAAGTACAAAGAGGAAGCATATGAAATATCCTTAAGCATTAAATTTTTTTAATTTTATTTAAATTCAAGTTAGTTAACATATAGTATAGTATTGGTTTCAGGAATAGAATTTAGCGATTCATCACTTACATATAACACCCAGTGCTCATCCCAACAAGTGCCCTCCTTAATACCCATCACCCGTCAAGCCCATTCCCTCACCCACCTCCCAGCAGCTCTCAGTTTGTTCTCTATAGTTAAGAGTCTCTCATGGTTTGTCTCCTCCTCTGTTTTTATCTTTTTTTATTTTTCCTTCCCTTCCCCTATGCTCATTTGTTTTGTTTCTTAATTTCATATATGAGTAAAATCATGTGGTATTTGTCTTTCTATGACTGACTTATTTCATTTAACATAATACACTCTAGTTCCATCCACATCGTTGCAAATGGCAAGATTTCATTCTTTTTGATGCTGAGTAATATTCCAGTGTGTGTGTGTGTGTGTGTGTGTGTGTGTGTGTGTGTGTACCACATCTTTATCCATTCATCAGTTGAAGGACATTTGGGATCTCTCCGTAGTTAGCATTAAATTTATATCAATAGATTATAACACATTATTTCGCTGCTTGTATCACATCTGTGTTTTTCCTGGTAATAACCCTTACTTTATCTTAGATGAAATTCTCTACTGGATTGGGTTTTTGAAGCTTTCTCTGAAGAAACATGAACAGAAATAAAGATGGAAGGAAAGAAAGAAAGAGGGAAGAAAGGAAGCAAGGAAAGAAGGGGGGAGGAAGGAGGAAGGTGGGAAGGAGGGAGGAAGGTTTAGCATTTATTCCAAAATGTGAGCAGGAGCAGAGAAAACTGAGAGTAAGAGTTTAGGAAACAAATACAATCTCTATTTCTTTGTGGAGATTATTGATTAGTGCTCTTCAGCTACAATTGCATAGCCTTGTCCCACCTAACTTTTTTCTGGGCCTGTATGTTTAACATTTGAGGAAGCATGTTCTAATTCTAACTTTTAACTCTTTAAATTTTAACTCTGTTTGTAAAGAATTGTGCAAATCTATTGTAGTTTTGTTCTTTGCTTGAAAATTTTAGCAGTTATACTAGATTATGAAGTCATTCTCTTTTAGCAGTGTATATTCATGTAACAGTAACAACTGTCTTAAAGAGATACTTGCACCCCCATGTTCATTGCAGCATTATTTACAGTACCCAAGACACAGAAACAATGTGTCTATGGACAGATGAATGAATAAAAAAAATAGGGGATATATACACACACACATACACACACACACACACACATACATACATATATAATAGTATATTATTCAGCTGTAAAAAAGAAGGAAATCCTGCCATTTACAACAACATGGATGAATCTTGAGGACATTATGCTAAGTGAAGTAAGTCAGACAGAAAAAAACAATATGATTCGATACTATATGATACCACATATATGTGGAATCTAAAAAAAACCAAACTCATAGAAACAGAACTGATTGGTAGTTGCCAGAGGCAGGAGGATGGGGAAGGGAACGGTGAATGTGATCAAAGGATACAAACTTCCAGCTATAAGAGGAGTAAGTTCTGGGGAGATATAATGTACAACATGGTGACTATAGTTGACAATACTGATGAGGGATGTGTTAACTAACCTTATTGTGGTGATCATTTTGCAGTATACATATATCAAATCATTACATTGTACACCTTAAACTTATACAATGTTATATGTCAATTATATCTCAATAAAGCTGGAGAAAAACAGTAATGCCTGTTAGTTGAAGATAATAATATGTTTTTATGAATTTTTCTAAATATTTTATAATCTTTCTATTTTTTCCTTTTCCTTTCATGTTTTTAAGGAGGGAAGGTTGATGTAAATAACCTGGATCCTGTTTTAGAAGCCATGGAGGTCAAGCTTACAGAACAGGAACTCAGTCTGATAAAGGATCTTCTGAGTGGTGAGCACTGTGGAAAACACTGTGATTTTAAACAGACGTTGAGCTTGCAGGATTAATTGTGACTGTTTCAAGGGTTTAAGTTATTTGTTGCCCGAAGCCATTTGAATAGTTTTCAGAAGAACTCAGGGGATAAAAAGACTGTTCATTTTTTGTTGCTTTAAAACCTGTAATCTATTTCTTTATACATCTCAGGGTAGGGACAGGTGCTAGTGAGAAGGGGAGGGATTATTGTTGTCTGGTTTTACAAAAATAGGATCTGCAATGTGTTTTTTTCTCACTGATCCATGTATCACTGACATCAACCCAGGGCATAAACCAATCCATTCACCCATTCCTCATTTCTCTGTTCATGGATTTTGAGATGGCTTTCTTTTGTGGTCATTATAACACGTTAACAGAATAATATGTATAGTATTATTAATTTTTAAAAGTATATATAGTATTCCTTTACAAACATAAGAACAGTCTGGAAGGATATACACAAACTGTTAGTAATGGTGAGGAGTAGTCATGAAGCTGAGGAGAGGTAAAAGATGGGACATTTACCTTTTCTTCATATGCTTGTATATTTTTTAATTTATTACACAAAGTATATTTTAAATTCTAACTTTTTAAACTCAATTTATTTTGTTTTTAATTTAAGATGACTGCAAATGGTGTGGTAAAATGATAGGATTTGGGCTGTGTTCTTATCCACCAATTAAGTTTAGGGAATCACTAAAATTGACCACTCAAGTAATTAGCTCCTCTCTAACATCCCTCACGGCTTAACACAGCAGTGCCCATGGCATCAACACATGGTAACACAAGTTAATACTCCTTACGAATATTGAGAAACATGCATCATTTCAAGAAGTAAGTGAGGTTGAAGGATTCCCAAATCATACAAAGCCACTAACAAATGTGGACCTGGCAGAGTTAGAACATTTGATAATTGAAGAAAAAAATTCTACATGAATAATAATGAGATAGGACATTCAACATATAACAATATGGATTTCAAAAGATGTAAAGGAACCCTTGGGAAAAAGTCAATCATTTTTGTAAAGGTGATTTTTATACATCTTGTTTCAAAGTTCAGAAGGATGCTGCAGTGTACAATAACCTCACTTTCTCAGAGAAAAACATTTGAACACACGAGAAAAGTCAATGTTGCTTCATTGCTTCTTCTAAGAATTATTCTATATTCTAAAGAATAACTATTGGGATAGTTATAATTACAACCTGAATTTTCTTCAGTATTAGGTAAGATAAACTTATTTTTACAATTTTCATTTTTATTATTTAATACAATCTTTTAAGATCACTTTCATTCATTATTTACTATTGAAACTTGGTCCTCATTGTAAATGAATTTATTTTCCTTGGTCATCTTCTGGAACAATAAATTTTAGATAAAAAGGACTTCTTGTCCTTTGTATCTTTTTTCTGAGTCCATGTTATTGTTTTCTCTGATTAAACTTTGTCTTACAGGCTATAAGAAAGTTGATCTGAAAAACCTGATGGATAAGGTAGAAGCTGTTACAGGTGAGGAAGAAGTTACCAAATACAGATGATTCTGATTCTTTATACATATTTTATATTCTTTGCTGTTATTCCCTTTAAATTATGCTATTTTTAATAAACTGATTGTAGTTTGATTTCCTAAAGTTTAACTTCGGTTTGTCAATGTTTCAATAATAAAACATAGTGCCATATTTTGGGTAAGCCCTATGATCTCATTTTTTCCGGATTAAGATGTTTACTAAAAAGATGTTAGTGTAATAAAAAGAGACTAAAGTTTTATTACCTACTAGTAATCTCCCACAACAAAAAATTATGAAATGCATTATTATGTACTCTGTTATATTGCCTCTATTATTACTAAAGTTGTGGAAATAAACACTTCACTGTTCTGCCATAACCATACTCAAACAGGACTCATTTAACTTTATTATGCATTGAGTAGTTGGGGTTAATACTTAAACAGTAATAGATTTCATCATTATTTAGAATAATTAGATGGTTCTTTAAAATCACACATTACCATTTCTGTCCTTTTGAAGGAGAGGAAGTTGATATCAACGACATAGGAACAGTTCTAAGAAACATGGGAATAGAACTCACAGATAAAGAACTCTCACAACTGGTGAAAAATCTGCCAGTTGATAGTGAGTATTTCAAATAAAAATATAGTTGTCCAGAGGAGCATATTGTTAAATTGCAAAAACTTCTAAAATTGTCTCTCTCTTACCGCTTGTCAGAAATAATCTTATGGGGGAACCTGGGTGGCTTAGTCATTGAACGTCTGCCTTTGGCTCAGGTCATGATCTCAGGGTCCTGGGATCGAGCCCCACATCAGGCTCCCTGCTCGGCAGGGAGCCTGCTTCTCTCTCTTCCACTCCCCCTGCTTGTGTTCCCTTTCTCCTGTCTCTCTTTCTCTGTCAAAAAAATAAATAAAATCTTTCAAAAAAAGAAAAAAGAAATAAGCTTATGATCCATGTTGCATACTTTAAAATGACTCTATTGTATCTTAAAATGTTATATCTGCCATTTAATCTTTAGTTTAAGAATCAACCATTGTGTCATCATGACTCTTATCATCAGGGTTCACTTATATCTTTTATATAATTATATCTTTTATAACTTTTGATTATATCAAGAGATCTGAAATTTAAGCCAGAATAAATGAGAAAAAAGAAAGAGTGATCTAATAGGGGAAAATGAAAATATCACAAAAGAAAAGAAAAAGATATGTTTCAGAATGGTAGAGTGTCAGTATCCCCCTGCCCTGTAATTTCATTATTTGCCACTAAATCAAAAAATTTATAAGGCAGTTCATAAAATATATCTTACTGAAATTGCTGGATTCTTACTGTCTATGAAGCTCCGCATTGTAAGTTTCTGTGATCTGAACAGTGTTTTCCTTACAGATGGAAAGGTCTACCAGAGAAGGTTGCTGGATGGTATAAAGTTTCTTAAAGGTGAGGGAGAAGCTTAATAAAACACAATCAATCTGAGATCATCATGTTTGGCATTTCTACTGATTCCTTGTGATTAAATTGTCAACCCTGACACCTAACACATTATTACATACTTTTGTTTCTTTTATAGATCATTGTGTTCTTTAGATCATTTCTTATATACCTTGGAAAGAACTCCCATGCTCTCTTGGGATTTCTCAAATTTGATAGAAGAAGAAATTATCAGAGCCCAGGCTGCACAGCAAGAGTAAAGGGAAAAATAACACCTCTTCAGTTAGTTTATTCAGCAGCAAGAGACTACTAATCTGACATTTAGACCAAAAGAGAGAGAGAGAAGAGAGCTCTAGAAAGCCTTCAAGATATTGAAGGAACATAGGACTGAATAGACAGGAAGCAGGCCAGGAGGAAGGTCATGTCTAAGCAAGGTTACCAATACCAGCTTCATGATATCTGCCAAATCCACACAGTATTTGTACTATTATTAATATTTTCATTTAAATTGATTTACTTTTAACTTGAATTTAAATGGCAATGGAGAACCAGCATCCCTTAACATAACTAGAAGTTAACTGTAAAAATAAACACAGTGAAAGTGAGACAGTAGTCATTCGAAACACAGGAATTATTATCACCCTACTGGAATTCTCTGAGCAGTCATTACATCACCTTTCAGTTTTTATACTAGGTATGCTTATATGAAGATTAAAATTAAAACAATATGCTCTAATTCTAACTCTTATTATTGACTCTGTCCTCTTGTAAAGATCTCGTCAGGCTTTGGTCCTTTGGATGAACATAATAACTATAATCCTCAGGAAGGTGAGGGTTTATCCCACATTTTAGGGACATTAACTTCTGCTTGTATATCTCTCTCTCTTTCCATAGGAGGGAAGATTGACTCCAATAAAGTGGATGCAGTTTTGGGAAACATGGGCATGGACCTCACTGAAAAGGAGCTTAAAGACATAACACAAAACCTGCCAGTTGATGGTGAGCATTTTAGATACCACTGAACACTACAGAAAAACTACTTTTATGAGCCTATTATAACAGTCATTAAAAATGCTTTTGTCCAAATGGCCAACAGACACATGAAAAAGTGCTCAACATCACTCAGCATCAGGGAAATACAAATCAAAACCTTGATGAGATACCATCTGACACCAGTCAGAATGGCTAAAATTAACGAGTCAGGAAACGACAGATGTTGGCAAGGTTGCAGAGAAAGGGGAACCCTCCTACATTGTTGGTGGGAATGCAAGCTGGTGCAACCCCTCTGGAAAACAGTATGGAGGTTCCTCAAACAGTTGAAATTAGAGCTACCATTCAATCCAGCAATTGCACTACTGGGTATTTACCCCAAAGATACAAATGTAGGGACCCGAAGGGGTACGTGCACCCCAATGTTTATAGCAGCAATGTCCACAATAGCCAAACTGTGGAAAGAGCCAAGATGTCCATCGAGAGATGAATGGATAAAGAAGATGTGGTATATATACACAATGGAATATTATGCAGCCATCAAAAGGAATGAGATCTTGCCATT